CATCCCTTCTGAAGCTGTGCACTAGGTCGAAGAGAATGGCCTTCCCGGAATAGAGGAGGACTGGGCTTAGGTCACGGGCACACAAGTAGCTGTGCTTTCCTGCTAGAACCTGCAGACAAGCTCTCAAGGGACAGTATATTCTGTTTGAAGACTGAAAGAGATGCCCGGATGACCAAATGAAAAGAACTGGCATCATGAACATAATCATTAGTCAAATGTGGTAAAAAAAAAAAATTAAACATACAAGTATTTAAAACAGTCATCTATAGTCTTGGATCCTTTGCGAACTTTTTGAGAATCTAGTTTTGCAGCCCCAGGCTCTCCTCAAACCTAAGAGGCCCTGCTGCTTTTGTCTCCAAGTGGTTGGATAGAAATGTGTGCTACTCTACCCACCCAATCCTGATCCTTTGCTTTCTATTTTTTTAAGGTTTCATTTGTTTGTTTGTTTGTTCAGACAGGGTTCGCTGTATAACAGTTCTGTTGTCCTGGAACTCGCTCTGAGGAGCAGGCTGGCCTCAAACTCACAGAGATCCTCCTGCCTCTGCCTTCCCAAGTGCTGGGATCAAAGTCGTATGTCATCACTGCCCATCAAGAGAAGTCACATCTTAAACTGCAAATACAACGCAGAGCATGGACTGGAGATGGCTATAAACTCTGAAACCACTTCTTCTAGCAAGGCTTCATCTCCCCCCAAACAGCACATGAACCGGGAACCATGTGTTCAGATATGTGAGCCTATGGGGAACTTCTCTTAGTACAACTACCATACATGGGTTCAAGGGATGAACCAGGTTGCCAGCCTTGTCTTTTAAGACAAAGCCTCCCAGTGGGATCTGGGCCTTGCTTATTATATAGGCTGGTTGTCCAGAGAGCTTCAGGGACCTGCCCATCTTCACCTCCCCAAAGCTGGGATTGCAGTTGTGTCAGGCCCGCTTCTAACACCTAGGTGTTGGGATTAACGGTTTGCTTTGTGCTACCATGCCTGGATAAGTTATATATTCTTTACTTTCTTTTTGTTTTGTTTTGTTTTATTTATTTATTTATTTATTTATTTATTTATCTATTTATTTATAGACAGGGTTTCTCTGTGTAGTCCTGGCTGTCCTGGAGGAGCTTGCTCTATAGATAATGCTGGCCTCAAATTCAGAGATCTGCCTACCTGCCTGCCTGTGCCACCATTGTATGGCTAAGTTATATATTCTTAATGTTAAATTTTCCATTAAAGTTTATGTGTTTAGAAAATGCATTTATATTAACGTGGATCTCTTGTTTATATATTTTTGCTGCAATATAGCAGTACCTCTCTAGGTATTCCATGTTTCTTTTCTGTTGTTTTCTTCATGGGCTGTTTGTTAGTTTACTTTTAATAAATGCCTACAAAGTCTCTTTCATCACTCCTATATATACTCTGTTGTTTTGCAAGTTATTCCTCAAAGGGGAGGATTCACACGAGTGCTGGAATTACAGGCACAAATAAAGTGTGGTGAGGCTAAAGTAGAAGGGTCACCATGGGCTTGAGGCCAGCCTGGACAGTGAGTTCCAGGACATCTTGGGCTACAGGCTAAGACCCTGTCTTAGGATCAGTCAGTCAGTCCGACTCAGGGTTTTCTTATTCCTCCCTGCCCCATTTCTCTCTGTCTCTCTTTCTCTCTCCCTGTGGCACTGCAGATAATACCCAAAGAGTTGTTAATGCTGGGCAAGTGTTCTCCACTAATTTATATCCTTTGATATTTCAAATATCAAATATGTGCTTACCATCTTGCTCTACAGCTATTAGTACACAGCCTGACTGGATGTGATTCCTATGTGGAGAAGAGTTAGTCTTGCACAGAAGTACCAGATTCAGCTGGCTACAGTCAGATCCTTGTTTCAAGCAAGAGGATCTGAGTTCACAACCCCAACCACTCATGTAAAGGCAGCACATGGCTTGCCTGTAACCCCGATGTTGGGGAGCAGAGGCAGGTAGATCCTGGGAGCTTACTGGCTAGCCAGTTTAGTCTAAACAGCAAACTTCAGATTCAGTGAAACTGTTTAAAAAATAAGGGTAGAGCAGTAGAGAATACTCAGTGTGTCTCTCCGGCTTCTTCATGTGCTTCTGTGTACACACATGCGTGTGCGCGCGTGCGCGCACACACACACACACACACACACACATACACACACAATCACACACATGTGCTCACACACACAGTGTGAGAGCTCAGCCATAGTAACAAGAAGTTAGGAGAGAATATAGATCCCATGGAGTTATATTGGTAAATGTGAAAACATCAGTAATATGGTCACCTGATATGTGTGAGGACAGGGGAGGAGACCCTGAAGATTTACAGGGAAGAGATATACAAGTGTTATTTCAAAAGCGGTTATGTAGGCAGGGACAGGATGATTATTAGGACCCACTTTGGGAGTAATGGTAATGAATTTAAAATCATCACCCCCCCACCCTGTTTGTAGTCAGAGTAAGTGATGATTCAGGCCAAAAGTGCCTCAGGCCTAAAACCTTACCTGCCTTTTAACTCTGCACTGTTGTATTAATCAGTGCTTTTTAGTGAATTCTAGGAATAGATCTGTTTAATAAAGTCAGTTATGAACAAGTGATCGGTTGATACAATTCTTTACCAACCAATAGGATGCTTTTTTCAGATTTACTTACACCAAGTGCCATAGTTTATGGGAAAAAGTTTAAATGATGAGTTTCTTTTTATGTATTATATAGATATTACCATCAATTTGAGCTTGTTTGTATTATAGAGCTTGTTTGTATTATAGAAAAGATGAAGCTGGGCTTGGTGATGCATACTTACAAACCGTGCGTTTGGGAGGTAAAATAGAAGATTAGAAATTCAAGGTTATCCTAGGATGTGTAGCTAGTTCAGGACCAGTTTGGATGATATTAAGATCATGCCTGGCATGGTGGTGCATGATTTTAATTCCTGCACTCAGAAGGCAAAGGCAGGCAGATCTCTGTGAGTTCAAGACCAGCCTGGTCTACAGAGTGAGTTCCAGGACAGCCAAGGCTACCCAGAGAAGCAAACAAAACAAAAAAACAAACATACTTGTCCTTTGCCTTTCAGTTTGAGCCTTTTTTTTTTTTTTTTTTTTTTGAAATTGAATTCAGAGGAGGTTCAAAACTTACTGATAGAGTCCGTGGAATGAAGAAGACAGATATTTAAGGGTAAGATAACAATTAAATAAATGCCTATTCTTTAAAACAACATTGTTATTTAAATAGGGAAGGATTTTACAGCACAAGACATGAACATTCTAAAAATGTACTTGTTTGATGTTTTGCTTTGTTTCTGTGAGTATTTTAAAATTAAATTTAAATTTAAGATTTATTACTATTGTTATTATCAGTGTGTGTGTGTGGTATGTATGTGTGAATGTAGGTGTGCCATGGTGTGTGTTTGAGGTCAGAAAGCAACTTTGGGAGTAATTTCTTTCCTCCCACCATAGTTTCCAGGGATTGAACTCAGGTTGCCAGGCTTGCATACTAAGTGCCTTTATCTACTGAGCCAGCTTACTGGTCTTTCTCTCAGTTTTTATCTGAAGACTTTCTTGTAGCTAATTTGATCTTCTTCTTTTGTTATTTACAATATTTGTGGTTTTTGTTTTTTTTATATAACATTTAAATTAAAAAACAATCTTATTTTACATACCAATCCCAGGTCCCTCTCCCTCCCATCTTCCCATGCCCTCTACTGACCCCCTATTCCACCCTCCACCCACTCCCCAGGGAGGATGAGGCCTCCCATGAGGGATCATCAAAGTGTGACATCATTTGGGCCAGAACTTAGGTCCTCCCCCATGTATCTAGGCTGAGAGAGTATCCCTTCATAGGGAATGGGCTCTCAAAGCCCATTCATGCACTAGGGATAAATACTGGTTCCACTGCAGACACCCCATAGACTGCCTAGGCCTCCCAATTGACACCAACGTTCAGGGGGCTAGTAGGGTTCTATGCTAGTTCCCTAGCTGTCAGACTGGGGTCCATGAACTTCCACTTGCTCAGGTCAGCTGTTTCTGTGGCTTTCTCCAGCACAGTCTTGATCCCTTTGCTCATCACTCCTTCTTCCTCCCTACAACTGGATTCCAGGAGTTCAGCTCAGTGCTTGGCTGTGAATCTCTGTTTCTGCTTCCATCAGCTACTAGATGAAGGCTCTAGGATGGCATATAAGGTAGTCATCAATTACATTATAGGGGAAGGGTTTAGAATCCCTAGACTCTGGTGGTGTCTTAGTTTTCTGTTGTTGAATGTGTTCTTATACTGTCGTCTTCGCACCTCTTCTTCCAGTGGATGCAGGTGGGGTCTCTCCCTCTCCTGGTGAGTACGGGTCCACGGCTCTCTCCAGGAGGGTACAGGCCAGTCCAAGATTCCAATGGCGACAGATGCTGGATGGTTTGGTCTGCCTCCAGGTCTCTCAGGGGGATTCAGTGGCAGGATGGGACTGGGGAGTGTGGGTCATGGTACAGGTTGGAACAGGGCAAGGTGGGTAGGAGAAGGCCTGGCACTCACCTCTCCTGGTAGGTGCGGGTCCAGTACCCTGAGTTTAGAGGTTCAGTCCATTATCATCGTGACGAGAAGCAAGGCAACATGCAGGCAGACTGGGCAATGGAGAAGGAGCTGAGTGTTCTACATCTACATCATCAGGCAGCAGGAAGAGCTACCTCCCCCCCCCTCCTTCTTCCTTCATCTTTTTCCTTCTTTTTCTTTTCCTTCCCTTTCCTCTTCCTCTCCTTTCCTCCTTCTCCTTCTCCTTCTTCTCTCTCCCTCCCTCTCTCCCTCCCCCCCTCACTCTGTTTGAAGTCTTGGCTGTCCTGGAACTTTCTCTGGAAATGAAGCTGGCCACTACCAACTGTCTGATTTCCTTATAATATTTTTATTAATTTTATAATTATGTAGTGTACCAGACTAAACTGCATGTTTTTGATTAATGTTTTATTTTCATCATATAGAAGAATTACTAATAAATTAATTTTGGATTTTTATCTTTTATCAGAAATTATGAGTCGAGGAGCTCATGTTCACATTTTTTGGGGTGCTCCAGTTGCTCCTCTGAAAATGACAGTATCACCGGGAACAACTTCCTTAATGTCCACTGCCAATGCCTGGGAACAAATCCAATTTTTTTGCAGACAGCAGTCTCCAGATCTGAAGGGTGAAAACCAGGAGCTTAAAAATCTGCAAGACTACCAAGTGCCAGGAGCTGTTGGCCCTCCAGCTCTTCTTAGTGATCACCTTTTAACAACTTATGTGAATAGGACTGTGCAGGTGGAAGATGGCTTCATCTGTTCTGCTTCTGAAACACATAGTATAACATCCCAGAAGATTAACCCCTCAGGCCAGAGTGATATGACTAATGTGAAAACATGTGAATTTAAGGACAGAGTTCAACATTTACCCGAAGAAGAAGAAAATCAAAAGCTTCAGTGTGAAAATAAGGAAATTATAGATGAGCAGTCTAAAAACCAGTCAAATCCCTGTTTTCAGAACTTTCAGGCAGATTTGTCTGCATTAGATCATAAGCGTACAGCTGCATTGGATTTGGATTGTAGTACTGGACATATTAATGTAGGACCAGAAGCTGTGAGAACAAATCCTGTGCCAAGTGAATGTGAAAGACAGAGTCAGGAGATCTTTTCCTCTGGCACAAGGTGTGAGCCAGAGTCTGAGGGAAAGAGTGGGAAGACTTCAAACCAGAAAATATCTACCGACACTGAATTTCTCAGTATAATGACTTCCAGCCAGTGTGCTTTTATAATTCAAGGGAATAATAAAGGACAAGACCACCTAAATAAAGGGAGTCTAACCATGGAGATAAAACCTACAGGAAGTCCAGAAGGAAAACTTGCTGAAGATAATCTTGTTAAGTCCAGTGATGATTCTGAAGAAGGCTCTGGAAGTGAGAAAAGCCAGGTGTATTCCCTGGAACTTTTTAGTCCTGTTTGTCCTGAATCAGAAAGCAGTCGTGTTCACAGAAACCCTGGAAAAAGTCTTGAAGATAATATGAGCTCGAGAGATCTTTTCATTAATGAAACAAACCTGCCACCAAGTGAGGTTTGCATTGAGTTGTGTAGCTCAGGGATACTGTGTTCCCAACTAAGTACCTCCCACCTGAGTGCTGCTGAAAGAAGCAGGTCCTCTAAAGACAATTCCCATCATTCTAAAACTCTTTCAGAAGCCTATCAAATGTCCAAGAAACCAAGGATGGATTCTAATACAGGAGAGTCAGACACAGCAATGTCGCAGAGGACCATGTCTGAATGTAAGGCCATCAAAAAAATATCATTAATAAAAAATTGTGACTCTAAAAGTCAGAAGTATAACTGCTTAGTCATGGTGCTAAACACATATAGCGTGAAGGAAATAAGTGTAAAATCTGGACCAAATTCTGGTTCTAAAGTGCCATTAGCAACAATTGTAGTAATCGATCAATCAGAAATGAAGAAGCGAGTTGTTCTGTGGAGGACTGCAGCATTTTGGGCACTTACAGTGTTTCCTGGGGATATAATTTTGCTTACAGGTAAGGTCATTAAGTATAGTGGTAGGTTGCTTTGTGAAGCTGTGTTTTCTGTTTCTTGCCTCCCAGGACTTTCTTTGCTGTTCTCCTTCCCTGGGTGTGTGACAGTGTGTCCTTCTGTGGACTTTAGTTCCCTTCTTTGTTCCTGCTGCCTTTCCATTCATTTCTCTTTAAGAAGCCTTGTTGTTTCTCATAATCGTCCATCATGTGACAGTCTGAGGCTCCTTTTTGCTGTCTTGTTTGTTTCAGGACATGGTTTCTCTGTGTAGTCCTGGCTGACCTGGAACTGTAGACCAGGCTGGCCTCAAACTCAGTGACCCACCTCCTGCGTCTGCCTCTGCCTCCAGAGTGCTGGGCGTAAAGTTGTGCACCAGCACTGCCAGGCTTCCTTTGGTCCTTTTGTGTCTGTGTTGTTTATATTTGTCTTATTAACTTTCCCCGAGGTATTATTATGAAAAGAGACTCCAATAGTGCTGTGTACATTAATCTTTCTGAAGGAACAGGCACAGATGTTGATGGCCTTTTGTTCCTTGTTTTGTGTCAGTCTCATGTAGTCCAGGCTGGCCTTGAATTTGCTGTTATATTCACCTGAGGATGATCTTGCGTTCTTGCTTTTTTGGACTGTTTGCCAAATTTGAGATTTTGGGGTGTTGAAGAAGTTATGTTTCCCCAGCAGTAAAGAGGTGGCTGAATGGACCTGTACTGTGTTCACTTTTAATTAAGGCCATTTTATCTTAAGGTCTTTCACTGTGTGATCTTCTCATAGACCTTTGCTAGGTAAGTAGAAACAGCCCAGTTATCTTTTTTTTTGCCTAACATCCATACAATTGTTTATAAATAGGTAGCATCAAATGACTGCTGGAATTTATTTAACTTTTTTTTTCTATTATAGGACAGTTAGATTATTATTTTTATGAATGTCTATTTTTTTTTTTTAAGATAGGGTTTGTCTGTGTAGCCCTGGCTGTCCTGGAACTCTCTGTAGACCAGGTTAACCTCAGACTCAAAAGCCATCTGCCTGCCTCCTGAGAGCTAGGATTAAAGGCATGTACCAACATACCCTGCTCCCCTTTTTATTTTTTGAGACAGAGTCTTACTCTATAGTCCAAGCTGGCCTCAAACTCATGCTAGTCGTCTGGCTTCTACTTCCCGAGTACTAGGATTACAGGCATGCTACTATGTATAGTGAAACCATTTTGTTTCATTTTCACCCTAAGAATATAGGACCACACCATGCTAGGCAAACACCTGCCATTGAGTTATATCCCTATCCCATCATTCTTTTATTTGTAGTAATATTTGAACGTGATATTTGGTGTATATGACATATGAGTAATATAGTCCCCAACATGAAATGAAAAGCTGTTTGGAAATATCTAAAACATCTGGTTGTGGTAGCTGATGCCTTTGATCTCAGCACTCAGGAGGTAGAGTCAGGCCGATCCCAGCTTGGTCTACCTAGTGAGTTCCAGCATAACCAGAACTAGTGAGATCCAGTCTCAAATATAAATATGTATGTGTGTGTGTGTGTATTCCAAGGTGAACATGTGGTAGTTTGAAATAGTTTGAATATTATATGTCTGATATCCATCTGTGATGTAACTGGTTTTACAGTGAAGTCCTGTGTTGATAAATATTTTTATCAACTTAATACAGACTGTAGAGTCACCAGAGAAGAGGGAACTTTAGTTCAGAAAATGTCCCCATCTGATTGGCCTGTAGTCATGCCTATAGGGCATTTTCTTCACTGTGGATTGGTGTGGAAGGGCCTGGCCCATTGTGGGTGGTGCCATTCTTGAGCAGGTGGTCCTGGGTTGTATAAAAAAGCAGGCTGAGCAAGCAGTGGAGAGTAAGCTGTGGAGAGCAAGCCAGTAAGTTGTCCCCTCCTGGTCTCTGCTTCAGTTCCTGCCCCCAGGTTTCTGCACCATGTTTCTGCCCAACTCCCCTCAATGAAAAATTATAAACTGAATGATTAAGTTAGACCCTTTCTTTCCTGGGTTGCTTTGGTCATGGTCTTCATCATAGCAGTAGAAGCAAATGTAAGACAAGTCCTCAGTAAGAAATACAATCATAAGTCCTCTAGGAGATCATTGCAAGTAGGAATAAAGTATCTGTGGTTGCTTATACCTACACAGTTACCCACCCATGCGCAATGATGATTAAATTTCACTTTAAGCAGTTGGACGCACCACAGTGTTTGTAATTCATTGGTTTCTGAATCATACAGGTACTGCAAAATATGCTGGAATCCAGATATCTTGTCTTCATAGTTCAGCTATAATTTTCTTCTTTTGTTTTTCCTTAGCTTTAAAAATCCCTGGATCTGATTTTTAAAATTTTCCAGGATTGCAGAATAATATACCACTATTGGCAAGGAATAGAAGACAAATAAAAAATTAACATCATTCCCTAAACAGAACAACATGTCACATTTAGAAACTGAGTGCCATGTATATCCCAAGGGGCAGTGCATCGAAAGATTAAAGGACTGAAAAAAGTTGTAACCCCAAACCACCATACAATAGCTTTTTAATGAGACAAGGATCAGTATTTAGGCCTGCTATAAGCCCAATCAGCCTAATAACTAGGAAGGGAGTTCCTAGCATTGTTTTCTGACAACATTCCTTATTAACTTTGAGCTTTCTAAGGAAAGATAGTTGTATCCTTGCCTTTTGTGAATGATCAATCATCCATGTGCTTTTTCCTCTTTGCCAAATCAAATGTTGATCTACTCTTGATATTCTGGACTCTAGCTTCCAGAAGGCTGTGATGTTTGCTGGTACTATTCAGGGCAGTTCAGTGTTTCTATGGTGCTTGTCACCATATGACTAAAACATTAAAAACAAATGTGTGATGTGAATTCCATAAGTTCCCTACATTAAGGGGGCTACTTCAGTCAGATCCATCATATTTATAGCTGGTATTTTTTCCCGACATGTGGCCAAACTGAGCAGCCCAATAAACACATCCATTATAGATTCTCAGTCTATTAATGAAGGATCTGTACCATATTTCATTTTTGGCCCAGCATGGATACATGACCTTGTCTTGTGGCCCAGTACAGTGGTGTTGAGTTCAGGCAAGTTCATCCACAATGGCAGTCTTTGAAACTGAATAAACCAATTCTGTTACTGATGGCAGCCCAATGGAAGAGTGTAGCATTTTCTTGTGTATGTGTACATTTTCTTGTTGTCATGTATATAAGTTGCTGGCACAAACTCACAACTCTAGTTGCCTAGTGTGTGAGATCTATGCATAATGTTTTGCTATGATTAGTTACTACTGTGTGTTTAATAAGTTAACCACAGTCAAAAGGAGTTCATGGCATGACCAGATTTTGTTTTGTTCTGTTTTCAGATGTTACTGTTTATGAGGATCAATGGGTTGGTGAGACAGTACTCCAATCAACATTTACCAGTCAGTTATTAAATCTTGGAAGTTATTCACATGTCCAGCCCGAAAAATGTAAGACATATTTTGAATGTCCTGAATTTGGGACCTTTTGGCTTTTGGATGGTACAAAACCAGTATGAGCGTACTTTGGATTTTGATCTTTTCTGGACTAGTGATGCTGCTAGTGGCTGAGAACCATGACTCACAGTCAGCCATCTGATTGTAAGGTAAACTGCTGAGACTTCACATTGTGCTGTGTTGCTAAGCAGGGATAGATGGTGGATTAGGTATATCTATTATATTTTTGATAAATGGTGGAGTTATTGGAGTGCTACTTTATTGTAAATCTACTGTAAGTCTGCAAACAAATATATTAGGAATGATTTCAGTAAAATGATTTTTCTGTTTTCTAAACATTTTCATTTGTAAGATGAAATTGAAACTCATTTATTTTTATTTTTTTTGCATTACTAGGGTTGAACATAGGGTCCCACCCAGTGCTGAACCTGTGCCCTACCCCCAGCCTTTAAAAATGAATTGAAAATAGAACTTTAAAAGATGATTGTGGTAGGGATAAGTGAGGCGGGGCAGGGGTGTGTGTGCTCAACCTCAGATGACTGCTATGTGCTTGGGAGAGAGAGAGAAAAGATGAACTTGTATGTTACCAATCACATGAAGTATTGTGGTTTGTGTCTCATTGTGTCTCTGCTTAGGGAATCTGCAGAGTAGTGGTTCTTAGTATTTAATGAGTTTTGTCTGAGATGCTGTGGTCTATATGTACAGAAAAAAATATAGATATAAAAAAGAAGGCATTGTTCTTAGTCATTCTATAGACTTGTGAAGCTCACCTGTGTAATATCTGAGCCTCTGAGTCTTTAAGATAATTAAAAATCCTATTGACTCATAGTGAGACAAATGTAGTTTGGAACATTTTCTATCATTGCTGAGAAAAACTAGCTTCCTTTTTTGGTGACCATTGCATATACTAAGAATTACTTCTCTTAGTGTTGAGTAGCATTCTGTTATATGGATCGACTGTTGTTTGCATAATCATTCCCTTGTTGAAGAACATTTGAATTATTTCCCATTTGAGGTTTTTAAGAATATAGATTTTTATGTGAACATAAATGTTCATTCTGTGACTCAGATTTCTAGGGTGTAATTTCTGGGTTGTACTCCAGTTACATACATAGTTTTATAAGGAATTACTAAACTATTTTCCACTGTGGTTCTATTACTTTAAAGTCCTCCCACAGGCTGGGGTATAGCACACTGATAAGCACAAGGGCTTGCCTACTCTGTGCAAGGCTTTGTGTTTGATCTCTAATACCTTAAAATGAATGAATGAATGAATGAATGAATGAAAGAGCAAGCAAGCCATGTGGAGTAACACATACTTGAAATCATAGCCTAAAATGATATTTGGGAAGCTGATGTGGAATATTATTAAGTTGAGGCCAGCTTAGGCAATGATACTTAACAAAAAAAAGTAGATAAAATCAGAGACTCTGGGTTGATTTCTAGCTCTGCAAAATAAATAAATAAATACAACCACTTGGTAAGAATATAGTACAACCTTATTGGCATGTCTTAGAATATCTATAAGAAAAATTATTATATGTACTGATCTGTTACACAGTAGGATGATTACAAGAAATTGTGCATACTGTAACAAAGCTACAATTAAGTACTCGAAATGTTTTCACTATAAACAAGAAATGTATGTGGAGCTAGGTCAGTTTAACTTGATTTGAACATTTATGATGTGTGCAAGCATTAAAGCATTGCATGGCGTCACATTAATATGTATACTTTAATGTAATAAATTTTAGTAAATAAAGACAATGAAGCTGGGGATGCAGCACTGACCTAGCATGTGCATCATCCTGGATTTGATCTCTAGCACCACAGAAATAAATGATGTAGGATTCATACCAGTAATACCTTTTATAGTTTTTCTCTTCCTTTGTCAACTTTTATAGTCATCTATTTTTTTAAAAAAAAAAAACTGTAATTTCTTTTGAGAAATGTGTACTGCAACTCCTTGAGGAGTCATTCCCTAATGGCTCTAATATAAAAAAATAATTAAAGAGAAGATCTAATTAATAGATTAGGTATGTATGTAGATAAGGTCATATAGAACATTCTTCAGAAACATCCACACTGGAAATGTTGTAAAACTGTCATTAATTATTTAACCACAACCAAAACCAGGTTCTGTTTTAAGTTTTGAAACTTTTAAAACAAATTTTGGATTTAAAGGACTGATACAAAATTTTACAGAAGTAATAATCGTGATATGTATTAAAACACAGAAGCTAAAGTTAAAGCAGCTAACAGACAAGTTATACCAAGAAGAATGAAAGAATAGAAATAAAATTCGAAGCTCAGAAAATTTAAAAAACAATTAAGTCATAGAAACCCAAAAGTATAAAATCATAACATAAATCAGAAATTAATTAAAATTGTAAAACAATATAATAAACCAGAGTCCTGTTTTTAAAGGAGATAAGTCAGTTGACTAATTTGATCAAGAAAAAATAAAGTATAAATATACAAAATAAAGTTAAGGTACAAATTATCATTGAAACAAATCAAAAGAAAGGCTTTTTGGAATTCTAGCTATAGAAAGTTTTAGGGAACGACAGTAGCTAAAGTTGACTTCATTAACGATATACAATTTAAACACACTAGCTATTAGATAAGAAAACTGCACCTCTGGTCCTGTTGTGTACATCTTCCGCCTATGCCTCATGTGGCATACCAGGCTTTATATGGTTCTGCGGACTGAAGCAGGGACCTGTGAATTCTGGGGACTCATTATGTCAGCACAACTACATCCTCAGCCTGCCAGTATCTAATTTAAAGAAGAAAAAGTTCTTTCAGCACTTTACAGTATCAGGAAGGAGATAAAAATGTACATATTTGGATTTTCTATCCAGTGCAATTAAGTCTCTATGCATGCTCTGATGCAACATGCCTGGAAATTTCCAAGGAAATAAAAGATAAGATTAATTCAAATAGTAAAAGAATTCCATGGGTAGCAGAATATAAAATTAATTAAAAAAACAAAAAACAAGCCTGTACCTTATATGCCATCCTAGAGCCTTCATCCAGTAGCTGATGGAAGTAGAAGCAGACACCCACAGCTAAACACTGAGCCAAACTCTTGGAATCCAGTTGCAGACTGGGAGGAGTGATGAGCAAAGGGGTCAAGACCAGGCTGTCGAAACCCACAGAAACTGTTGACCTGAACAATGGGGAGTTTATGACTCCAGTCTGATAGCTGGGAAACCAGCATAGGATCGACCCAGACCCCTGAATGTGGGTGTTAGTTAGGAGGACTGGGCAGTCTATGGCGCCTCTGGTAGTGGATCAGTATTTATCCCTAATACACAAATAGACCTTGGGAGCCCGTTCCACATAGAGGGATATTCTCTTAGCCTAGACACATGGGGAAGGGTGTAGGCCCTGCTCCAAATGATATGACAGACTTTGAAGACCCCATGGAAGACCTCACTCTCCCTTGTGGAGCAGAAAAGGGGATGGGATGGGGGGGCAGGGGAGAAAGGGAGGGTGCAGGAACTGTGACTGACATGTAAAACAAGCTTATTTCAAATTTAAATAAAAATTTATTAAAGAAAGAAACCCTGTCACAAAAAGCAAACCAACCAATAAACTAACAAAAACCTAATGTGGAGAGCAATAAAAGACTGGTGTTGACCCCTGGCCTCTAAATGCACACACATACTTGTTTATGTGCTGCATACATACCAACATGCATAGGTGTTCTCTCTCTCTCTCTCTCTCTCTCCCTCTCTCTCTCTCTCTCTCTCTCTGTCAAAAGCTGTGTGAGGGAAAAATTTAAATATTCTAGAAAGAAATACGGACATGAGTAAATGGAAAGATGACCTGTTTCATGGATGTGATTCAACTTTATAGTGTTAATCTCCTTAAGTTAATATATAAATTCAATTCAATTCAAACAAGTAAAATAACAACAAGCTATGTTATGGTCCATAAAATTTGATACTGAAGTGTGGAAAAACAAAGAAGCAAAAATTGTAGGAAAACACTATAAAAGGAAAACTGTTTTAGAGGAGACCTACATTCCTGCATTACCAAACATCTTTTTTCTTTTTCTTTTTTTCTTTTTTCCCAAGACAGGGTTTCTCTGTGTAGCTTTGGAGCCTGTCCTGGAACTAGCTCTGAATACCAAGCTGGCCTCGAACTCACAGAGATCCACCTGTCTCTGTCTCAGGAAAAGGTTTTCTTAGAATTGCTCAGCATCTATATGTGGCAAAGGACAAAACTGGTTAATTTGCCTACAGAGAAATAAAGTTTTGCATGATCCCGCATTTCACAAAGCCAAAAGATACACTTGAAGAAAATATTTGTTTCCTATATTTTCGACAAACAGTGAATATATTTCTGGTTTTCTTTTTGTTTTTCAAGACAAGATTTCTCTGTGTAGCCTTGGCTGTCCTGGAACTCTCTCTGTAGACCACCAGGCTGGCCTGGGACTCAGATCTGCCTGTCTCTGCTTCCCATGTGCTGGGATTAAGGGTGTGCAATACCACTGCCAAGTCCCAGTCCAAGCCCAAAGTTAATATTTCTAATACAAAGAACTTCTAAAAGCTGCAGTGAGGGCTCAGCAGTAACACCTTCTGCTCTTCCAAAGGACCTGGATTTAATTCCCATCACCCATATTGGTGTCTCACAATTATTTGTAACTCCAGTTCCAGACGACTGATACCCTCTTCTGACCTTCCTGGGTACCAGACACTCATGTGGTGCGCAGGCATACATGCAGGCACAACACCTACACATAAAATAAAAATTTAAGAATAAGTAAATAAATATAAATAATGTTTAAAATGATAGCTCCTTTCTTATTAGATGGACACAAATATGTGACAATACATTCTATTGGTGAAACTATGGAGAGACAGGGCTCTTACATTTAATCTTACATTTAATCTTGGGAATGTAAACTCCACAACTTCTGGAGGGGTTTGGTATTAGATACAAAATTATAGTGTGTGTGTGTGTGTGTGTGTGTGTGTGTGTGT